TTGTGATTTGTCTGAGTGATATTAATTCCCAGTCTGAATGTGCACAATTTTTAAATGCATTAGTAACTTTTGTGTTCCTGTATGATCTAAGAATTTTTTTTACAAAGTATTTCTTCATGAACCAGTAGACTTAACCATAAGTCCAACGCACATCATCATTTATTTATTTATATATATATATATATATATATATATATATGCTTGTCAATGAATGAAAGGAGTAACCATCAGCATATAAGACAGAATATATGGTTGTGAGCAAGGCAAAATCAGTTATGCAGCCATGATGATGAGGTTTTTTTGTCATGAGAAAACATTAGAACAGGGATAGGCAAACTTTTTTCACAATCATCCCTATGTAAAGTGGGTCACATCTCAATAACTACAAGTGTTCCACAATGACAAAATGCATAACAATCATACATTGTAGGTTGATCTGTCCCGTCAAAGGTCAGTGCAATCTGTGCGCACATCGACCAGCACATTACAAACAGCAACAACTATCAACATAAAACAAATATTAGATAATACCAAAATATTCCACACCACCCAGTGCAAGGAAAGACTCAAAACTCTAGATACTATTATTTTACAAAATGAATGGCTCATATTGAATAAGATATCTTTTCACCACAGAATACAGCATCTTGAAGTGTGTCTAAAATATTTAATAGGCACACACACTATATGTATATAAACAAAAACATTCATTTTGGTGTGGTTTCGTTCTCAATAACTGATGTTACTGTAGACTATTTAAAACTTTCACTTTCCAATGAATACCAGGATACAGACAAAGGAATTCTGTCTACCATACAGAAATTCGGTTTTTGAAAAATGACAGTCAACCAAAAGTACTTGAACAAAACAACATCACAAACATGAACTTCTGATAGTTAATCTACAATTTTGATCTCATTACACAACACCTTATTTGAAAATCGGAAAAACAATGAAAAAATTAAACACACACACTGTTGATTCTTTTTAATCAAACTTGTTTGGAACAATCTTACATATTCATGTTCATTGTACATTTATTTGCTTATTGGATACATTTTACAAATAGATTGCACAAATGTATGAGAAATTACTTTAATATTTAATGCATTTATTACTATTAATGAGATTTGTGCATCTGAGAAAAATCTTAAATCATAATTAGTTTACTTATCGATGCCCACAAGACAGATTGCATATTCAAGTCTGTTATCTGAAACCTGTTTTTTTTTTTTTTTTTTTTTTTAGTTTGTTAATGTTTATGCAAAACTGTCTATTTATGAATAATAAAATTCTATTAGCTTGAAATCCTGAAAATACTCCTTCAGTAAGTTGTCACTTTGCAGTTCCATCAACTGCAGTTGAAGATCACCTGCTGCTCTTTCGACATTTGTTGGAGTACACACAGGCACCTAGATCCCTATATCAGTTTATATACTGTGCCAATAATTGGACATTAACATCTTGTGGCATAACAATCCAGATACACGTGGTTGTATATAATACAATATGTTGATTTTGTAGGAAGTGAGTTCCTGAGAAATAAGCTTCATTATTAAATGTATATGGCTTCTGTCTCTGTTGTATTTTCCTGTTTGGAATAGATTACATTTTTATGCAATATATATATATATATATAATTTAATGCACATGAAAAATTGTCTGTTTTGTACTTGTGTTCATTATCTAGGTTGCATGTTGACTGTGTTTTGCCCATCCCTCATCTAGATTGATTTGTTTTTTTTTTTTTATGGCTTATCAACTTTTTGCAGGTTATTTAAATCGTGCAGAAAATATTTTTAGATTGTAAGAACTTTTTGGATATAATTATTAATATAATAATTTACTGGTATAAGTCCTACTAATTAACCCATAGTTGGGGGGGAAGTAGAAGAGATGTATTCCTACCTTTCCCAAGCGTATTTGCAAATAAGTGAATATAACAAATCCAACTGAAATTGAAACTTGGCTCTCTGATTTCCAATTCTGAGCCATTATCCATTACACCACCTGCCTATCCAAGCTGACGGCATCTGGTATTCCCAAGTGGTCACTCATCTATGAATTGAATTGGCTTGATATTGCTTAACTTAGGTAATTGTACGAGTACCAGCGTTTCAATGTTATATGGCTGTAAACACCTAGAAGTATATGCTGGAGAGTTACTTGTGATAAGTTAATTTTGAAGTTGTTGTTTTTGCTGGTTTTAGTTTTAATCTGTGTATACTAATGTCAACCTTCTTTTTGAAAAATCTTTAATTTTTAAATATTTTGCTGAAAATTATTTGTTTTCATTATAAGAAACACATTGTCAGAAATTGGTTCAAATTTCAACAAAATATAAACTGATTTTATTGTGTGAATTAAAGTACTGACTGAATAGAAGAATGACCTTTGAGTGAAATGCATTCTGTTAATTGTGAGGTGAGTCATTATCCTTTTAAGATTTATTTGGACAAATGATCTTTTTGCTGCTTTTGTTATCCCAGATAAATGAGGTCAATAATAACACTTACAAGAAGTCTTTTCCTCTAATTTGTTTTTGAGTGTTTTATTTAATGCTGATATCACAGTGTAATGAATACATACATACATACATACATACATATGTATGACAAAGTGGAAAAAGGGTGTTTTTTTTTTTTTTTTTTTTTTTGCAACGTGTTTCATCCTTGCTACGCTAATTAAAAGAGAAAATAATTCACTAAGATGAAAAATGTTTAGAAAGTGCTTTAATTGCTAGTTCATCCATGGTAAATTTACGTCCAGGTTCTTACAATGTTTCACAATTCCTGGCAGATCTTCTATTATCACATTGTGGAATATTTAATAGCATGGAGAGAAAAGAATCTAAATGAAATTGTCTTGATTATATATCCAAAACACATAAAAAAAAAATTTCTAAATTTTAAATTTTCCAGTGTCTCTTGTTCATGCGTATATGTAGTCAATGTAAATGAACATAGTCTGATGAAGTCCTATGGGGTTACATATATCATGCGAAAACTTTTTCCACTTTGTTATACATCTTTCTTCCAAAACAGTCTTGAGATATAAAAATTTATATATCATTGTCAGAGATATATATATAGTATTCACTCCATGCATTGCATTTGAAAGTTTGAAGATCAAAGTTGGCAGAAAAGTATGGAGCCAGAAGAATGAGAAATGCGAGAAAAGAAAGTGTTAGCATAATGTACGGTTACATCTAGCCAATTCAGCTGTAAATTGATGAGACCTTGTTGCTAATCCCATACTACATTTAAATTCATAAAGTTTAGGTACCTTAGTGAAGAGCTCATCTGAACAATTACCATGAAAGTATTTATACAAAAGGCACAGAGATGAAAATTTGTGGTTATATGAAATTGACTGAAATTGAGATGCCAGGCCAGAACAAATAATATTGCTGGGTCTTCTTTGGATTTTATCTTGAAATATATAGCAGGATCACCAGACCATATGTGCTAGCAATATTCAAAGCATGGATGAATAGTAGACTTATAGATATGTAAGATAGATTCTGGTGAAAAAAAGTGTCTAGCATGACACACTGAACCTACTGATTGAAGGTAGAAAGGGTTCTCTCAGATGATTAATGGACGTAGGTATATATATATATATATATATATTAGTAAGATGTAGAATAGTATCTGAAAAGGAGTGAAGATAATGAGACAAAGTGAAAAAAAAAAAAAAACTATTTTAAACAATAACATGTTTTGCCAATGTGTTTTAGGTTTGGTGTCTTCAGGTCAAAATGAAAGACAAAAAGGTTTTTTTTTTTTTTTTTTTATAAGCAGGCCAATAAATTTAATTTCCACTTAGATTCAATGACCAGTGAAAAGAATTTTTTATTATTTATTTATATATATATATATATATATATATATATATATATATATATATATATATATATATATGTGTGTGGCCTTTCATATGAACTTTCAGGAATCTAAAAATGAGAACGGTATGCTTAAAGGCAATATAGAAGCTTGCTTAATCAACTATGCTCTTCATGTCTAAGAAGGTTAAAAATAAACTGGGCATCTATTCACATATGGGTATCCACGAAAAATAACATTTAAAGTCATAAAAATATGTTGGATTAATAAATAAAAGTCCATCACTTCTTTATATATTTGATATTATTAAAATAGAAGTAAAAACATTCAATACACATCTAAGGGCCATTCAGTTTTGAAATTTTTTAATCACTCATTGAGACTCTTGGCATCTCTGCTAACTTTCAAATTTACATTCTACAGTTACAGCAGTGAATCTTACAAGCTCCTCAGAACAATTGAAAAACCAAATAATCATCTTGTGTTTGTAACTTTAAATTTAAAATTACAATTACAGTAATTAATCATGTAACTTCTTCACAATAGCTAAACATGTTTTTTTGTTCAGAGTCTTAATGAATGATTAAAATTATGAAACTGAGTTGATCCCCCTGATAATTAAGAATTTAATGACTGAAAATACAGGATTGTTTCTTATGTGAAAATAGTGTTAAGAATTACAATAAGATGAATTAGGGACAGTTGGGTTTCATGAAGAAACTCTTAGATATTATCAGATTTCTTGTTGAAGCTTTTAGATATAGAAAAAGATGCACACACATTAATTTTTTTTTTTTTTTTTTTAACAATGATGTTTATTCTGTACAAGTTCCAAGAATCATTCAGAGCAGAGAGATACAAAGCAAGAGGCAACGCATGAATCAAAGTGATAATGCCACCAATACACAAGGGCTGCTGGAATTGAAAGAGAAGACTTTACAAGGAAAATGAAACCCAATCCTAAACGGGGGGGGGATTGTTTGGGAAATAAGGGATAAACCTCTATTCGTGTTCAAAAGACTGGAGAGATGAGTGAACCGGATGATAGGCGAACCCATCTATTCCTATTAAAACAAAGAATAGAAACAGTTTTTAATGTCAATTAATGTAGATTTTGTTGTGTATAATTTTTAAGTTTATTTATTTTTGTTTCAGTGACCCTTGCTGTGGTTAGAGGCAAAGCTGTTGATTTGACACCTCCAACTTTCAGTAGTCAGTATGCAATAATGGGTGTTCTGAAGTTACCATATGCTGACTTAGAGGAACCTTTCACTGCCTATGTTGACGTTGATAACAAACGAAGTAGCATCTCCTATTATAATGGTAAGTAAAACTAGACTTGTATTTCTTTTTTGTTCATAAGAAATGCTTACAGGGAAACTAAGGTTTCACATAATTTCTAAAAATTTAATGCTCGTATATACATGTTTACAATTCCAACAAAAGAAAGAATACCATTAGTTAAAAAAAAATATGAGATAAGAGCTTTTGGGAAGAACATTTTGAAATTGATTGAACAATATAAAACAGTTCAGTCATGTTCTGATTATCACTTGAAATACTATATTATCTTTGCCAAGAGTATTTGCACATAAGTGAATATAACCAACCCAATTGGAACTTTGCCTTTGGATTAAAAATTCCAAGCCATTATCCAATGCACCATCCACACATCCAAACTTACAGCACCTAATGTTTCCAAGTGGTCATCCATCTAGGTGATTCAAGCCTGTGGATGTAGCAAGGTGGGTCTTGGTGGCAAAGGTTGAGATGGTGCACTGAAGATTGGAACTTGTGAGAACATTTTTCATGGAATTAGTAATAGAGTAGCAATAGGCTTGCAATGTTGGATCTGTGAAAAAGTGGCTGTAGTAGTGTAGAAAATAAGTCATCCTTGACAAGTTTAAGTGGATTCTTAATCAACTCTTTAGAGTCATTTTATGCCAAAACTGATTTATTTTGCTTTATATTTAGGAAAAATGGACAGTCTTTTTTTTTTTTTTTTTTTTTTTTTTTTATGTTTTCAGTTATTACCCAACTGATTTCAGGGATCTTGTAATTTCTTTTAATATTTTCAAATAGTTCTTTTAGACTGTTTGCTTTGAAAAAATTCTTTTGGAGTCAAGATCAATGCATTCAATTAGAAAATGTTTTACTGTATATTGGGTTTTGGCATTTAGCACACCATGGTGGTGCTTGTTTCTGTAAGAAGTAATGCATCATTTCAGTGTGAACTATTTGTAGTTGTGTTATAGTGTTATGGCCTGTTTAGGGGCCAGAAAAAAAAGACACGGAAGACAAAGGTAGGTTGAACAAGTGTATTGAAATAACAACAGATATATACAAAGCAAGAGTGTTAGTAATAAGCAGATAGAAGTGTATGTCCGAATGGTAGGTTAGCACTGCATATCGGCTGCTCCCACACACACACGTTAGTATTTATGAAAGGAGGAAGAGTTCATTCTACTGTAGGTGGGTTGCTACAACTTCTAGTAACCTCTTCCCTTCAGAAATTTCCATAATGGCAGGGTTTCTTTCATGAGGGTTGGTAAGATTGTATTTTGTGTTTTTCTGCTCCATTGTTCCTGCCATTAATTTTGTGTTTCTTCATTAATGGTTTTAGGTTAGTATATGGGATTTGGTAGTTTTCAGGAACTTGTATTTATGCCTGGTTAGCACTTTTGTCTACTCCATCATTGCCTTTTAATTTCTACATGGCTAGAAATCCAGATGAACAGAATTTTTTTGAAAGTAGATTTTTAACTCTATCAAACCTGGAAAGTAAGGATTGAGTATCTCTAGTTCAGATAGGCAACAGTACTCTGTTTTTGGTTTGATCTTTTAAAGATAAAGCATGGTGGAAGGAGTTGGGTACTTTATGGAGTGGTACAAAGAGGCAAACATTTTTTTCAGCATCTAATGCATGTCAATGTGAAAACAGGCCTTAATTTTCTCTGATTCCATACACCCACTTCCAAAATACTGTCCAAAATTAGCAGGGTTATAAAACATTGTCTTTGACCAATCAGAAAAAGCCTATACGGTTTTTTGCAGCAGCCATTTCTGAGCCACTGTTTTCACCCATGAAGGCCAAACTGACCAGGTTGGAATTAGCAACAGACACCCTGACATGCAAGCTTAACCATGCAATTAGCAATAACACCAAGTTACTTCTAACTCTCAACTACTACAATGTGATAATTTCTGAAATATTTTCTCCCATGAGTCTATTTCGCTCTACTACATATACTTGTTGATTTTCTCCATGTGTCTATCTCGACTACTACCTTGTGTTACACCCCAAATGAACTCTGTTTCCCCACAACTGATATTTGATATCCCAGAATGAGTAAACGATTGAACTTTGTGAATCACTTGAAATAAACTCTTTTACTTAGCGCAAGCATGACTTACCTCTATTTGTTGTTTAGTCACTTCCACTTTCTTTTTGTACATAGTAAGGCCATTGTTACAAATAGTTTATTTCATGATTTAAAACCAATTTATAGCTGAAAAGTTTTTCACTGATTTAAAATTGTATTTTAGCAAATGATTAAATACATTATGGTACACAAAGCTGATAGTAAATTACTTAAAAAAAACTTATGAATACAGTAGACACTGTTTCACTTTATATATATATATATATATATATATATATATATGATATCCAGCCTCCAGCAAATGCTGGAAAATCTCCCCACAGATGAAGAGAAAACTGGAGGTAGCAGAAATGTTCTTCTACAGAAGGATGCTGAAAATTCAGTGGATGGAGTGAGTAAGCAACACTGAAGTTTTAAAGAAAATGGCAACAAGAAGAACACTTCTGTTCAGAATCTGGAAAAGACAGCATGAGAAATGTGGGCTTGGAAAACTTAACCTTCATGAGGCATATTGAGGGCAAGAGAGATAAGGGAAGGCAGTAAGCCACTTACCTGATGAGCTTGTGTAAATAGATGGCAGAATGGGGAGTGGGAGTGTTAGAAAGAAAAACTGAAAATGGCCACAAGAGATAGGAAGTTGTAGAGAGTCATGATCAAAAAGTATCAGTTTACTTAATTTTTTATCAAGCTGTAAATATTCAACAATACACTTTTAGGAGTAGTTTCTCTGGTCAAATGTTGATTTTTGAGTGATGTCAAGTGACTCATAAGTTTTGCAAGTCTTATTTTCAGTATAACAGTGCATTCTCTTCTTGTACCTGGTCCACATCACTGTAGCAAAATACATTACAGTCTTGAATTGCTACAGATACTATTCTTGAACTAAAATGAAATTTCTTTTTAAAACGAGGAACAGACTGCAATATGTAGATAAGTACATATTGCTCATTGAATTGTAAATATTAAATAATAAATTTGAAATTTTGTGTGTTTTCTCTTTTGTTTAGACATTGTCACTATCATTCAGCGTGGAGATCATGGGCCTTATGGTGAAACCTATACTGTGGCCCCTATCACTACATATAAAGTCTACAATGAGAAGTCATGCTTCAAATTATCTGGAGCAAATGGATCTAGAGTTGAACCACAGGTAGCCCTTCCTGACCTTACTGGTTTTAAGGTGAGTCTGTCTTTCTCTTTTGAGGAAATGTTATTTTTTAAAATTTTTTATTTCTGTTTTTATATATATATATATATATATATATATATATATAATAAAAAGTAATTAAAATTGCTGTCGACCCAAACCTATTCTGTTATTTTTTATTTCTTTCAATCAGTCTTTTGTACCAATAGTAAATTAAAATTCTATCTCTTAGAAATTATCTTGCTGTAGTGTTGATAGTGGGATATATTTGAAATCCTGGCCAACATGTCCTTTTTGTCTATCATACCAATAGATGATAATGCCATGTTGTGTTTCATTCTGGCTATAAACAATCTTTAGTGTTTTTATAATATTCTAAGGCAATAATTTTATTTTTTAAACTCTTTACATGGGGCTATTGTCCTCATCTTTGTAGTTGTTATCACAAAGTTTCAATCATTTTGCCCTCTTTATCAGGTGTATGTCAATCCAAGTAATCTACAAGATATTAATGCCAAACTGAACTCTTTATTTAATTTAGTGATATCTCATTTAGTTCTTAGTACTTCTCAGTTATTGTTTATCCTGAATCCAATTATGCACTGCCCAGGGACTGAACTCACAATTACTATGTCACCAGATTCATGAACTAATCCTTTAATCCACTGGGCTATTGTTCCAGGATAATAATTTTATTTTTATCAGGTATCATTTTAATTTGAGTTGTAGTTTCAAATCTTCATTTGGCTAATTTCCTGCTTTAATTTAAAAAACAAAACCAAAAAAAAAACTGTTACAAACAATATATTTTATATAAAAAATGCATTAAAATTATGCTTGTACATGATTTTTATTGAAAAATTCATTGTTTTCTGTTTTTATTTTTAATGAGTTATAATTTTAATCATTTTGTCATGTTTAGGGAAAATTTATGTGGAAAATCATTCATATAAATATTATTAACATAACTCCTATTAATAATATAGGGTGTGGCAGAAATACTTCCCACATAATGGTAAGACATTAGTTAGATGAAGACACCATTGTCATTATGTGAGAGGTATTTCTGCCGCACCTTGGAAAAGGAAATAATTACTAGTTCACTCATGCATTAAAAAGTATCATTAGTTGAAACAATCTGCCGTTGTCAGAAGAAACACATTGTATTTGTCGTCGCAAGGGAGATAACTCTAAAACGTCAAAAGAATTAGACATTTCAAACCACAAACCACTTGGTGTTCTATCTATCTATATGCATATCTCTCTCTCTCTCTCTCGCGCGCGCGTAGATATATATATATATATATATATATATATATATATATATATATATATATATATTTCAGATTTCAGTTGGAGGTGTTAGAAGTATAGTGTGGAAGTAGATTTGGAACTGGAAACCCAATCAGAGAGCAAAGTTTGAATACCAGTTAATTTCATTACCTTCACTTATGTGCTAATACCCTTGTGGATGGTATGAACCCATCTCTTTCCCCCCAGCTATGGGTGAAATAGCAGAACAAACTGGATCCTATAGCCTTGGGTAACAACCAGTCTCAGAGAAGGAAACTGTGAATTCAAACCACCTGCTGTCTTGTAGGTCTTGTCTATTTAGGCAAAGGCTAGAAGGTAACTTAAAAAAAACAAATAAATCCACTTTTTGAGAGAAGGGATGGGGGTAACCTCAACATCTCCAGTGCAAAAGGGATCAGCAAGAATGAATGCTATTTTAAAATATTTTAATCCAAGGATAATCTTCTCCAGTTGTGAATCAAAATTAAAGAACCTTATATATTTGATTGGTGTCAGCCTAACTTTGCTATTATTTTTGTTTGTTATGTTACATATCTTTATAAATGCAGTTTATGTTGTTAGAAGTCATTCTAGTTTCTTATTAAAATGATGCTGGTTGTTTGAAAGTCTTTATTGTCATTGGATTTAAATTTTTTTTTTTTTTTTTTGTTCAATCTATTTCTGCTTTTCTAGAATGTTGGTGAAAAGATTTACCTTGATTCTGCTGTAAATGTTTGGGAAAAAGTCGAGCAGGTTGGTTACAAGAAGAACACCTATGTTATGTGGGTGGAGAAATACCATAATGACCCTGTCCGCTACGAAATGATGGGCTATGATACTCTCTTTGGCTCTCACTATGACAAATATATTATTGATTATATTGTTTACAAGAAAGGACCCCCTGACGAGTCGCACTTTGATGTGCCTAAAAGTAAGCTGCAGTTTTTTAAATATTTGCATTGTGTTTTTTGTGAAGATTAAAGTCGTTTTAAGGATGAGAACAGCACAATGTTGAAAAGTTAATTTGGTGTCCTGCTTATTAAATATTTCACACATCTTTTTAGTGTTTAATTTACTATTTTTTATTTATTATTTATTTTAAAATTACAACATACGTATGTTTACAAAAATAGCCATTTTGTTTCAACACTTTTGGTATCTTGTCAAATGATGGTGTTGATTGTAAAATAAAACGTTTTTAGAGTTCAAAACCAACCACTACCCTCACTAGGGGGGATAACTTTATGTAAGATGTAATGGCTAATCAAATTACTCTGGCTCAATAGTTATATACTAGTGTAGTCAAATACATAGGATTAAAGACTCAAATCCCATTGAACATTTATTTATTTATTTTTATTTTTTTTTGTAAAATTCTAATTTTAATCATTAAAACCAGAAAAAATAATGATATTTGTAAAGAGATTTTAATTTTGAATTTCAGTCTGTCATATGTGATAAACGCTTGGGTGATCATTTCACTTTCGATTCATGACTGACTAGACAGAAGATTCTCCCACAAGTAGGTTACATTTTTTTCTGTGGTAGACTGCTTGTCAACCAAAGCTATAGGACCCAGTTTGTCCTGCTATTAAACCCCATACCTGGAGGGAGATGAGATGGATTCATACCCTTTCCCAAGGGTATTAGCACATAAGGAATGTAATGAACTCTACTGGTATTCGAACACGGCTCTCTGATTGGGTTTCCGGTTCTTTCTAAAGTCTACTTCCACAATAACATCTCTGACTGACCTCTGAAATGTTATTCACTAATTAAATCTTGACCTTTTCAAACAGAGAATTATCTGGTATCTTTCCTGTATAGTTCCAAGAACTTTATTTCCCTTTACTTCATATTTGTAACTTCATTCTTAGGATGCACAGCATGTATAACAGTAAAATTAAATACCAGCCTGGTCTGTTCTATTCACTTTTGCACTAAAGCCCTTTGGAAAAAGGATGAATCCATCTCTTCTCCAACCAGCTATGGGTTAAATAGCAGAGTAGACCAAGCTGTCTAGTCTATGATGGCAACCAATCTAGGAGACTACTTTGAATTAAAAACCATAGAGAAGGCAATGGGAAATCACTCAATTATCTTTTTTAAGAATCTATGACAATTCACTGATAATAAAGAAAGTTAAAAAAAAAAAAAGTCTCTGGAAATCTATGATCACCTATATCCTGAAAAGACACAGCATTAAGAAAGACCCTCATTTCTAATGGACTATAAGAAATATAAATGACTACAATGGAACAGAAATGAGTCACTGTTAATGCATACATAGTAAAGCATTAATTATATATTACTATGTTGATTATCTGGATGTCAGTTATCTGGACATTGATTATCTGAACTTCCATCATCTAGAATTATCACAACTTTGTCACGTCAGAATTCTTAAATGTCTGTAAAGAGTAAAACTAGGTACATTTTTTTTTCATAAAAAAATAAACTGGACAAAACCTTGAACAAAATGTTTGAAAATGTTATTTGATAATATAAATGTTAAATTTCTTTCAGAAAAATGTTTTTTTTTATAGTCTAGATATCCAGTTTTCGAAAATTTTGAAATATCTGAACGTATTTTTTTCAATCTTTGTAGTTACTTTAGTTTTTTAAACAGATGTGTCACATGTATATTCTTATTTATTGGTGAGGGTGGGGGTTTGTAATGTTTTTATTAATCTTGCACTTTTGTCATCAGGTAAAATTAACCGATTTACATTTATTGAAGTAAGTTTTCTATATACCAGAGTGTATAGTGTTAGGGAACTAGATATTACTTGAAAAAATCATTTTTCGAAGACCAAAAAGCATTGTGCACAAAATACCAAGTTCAACTTTTCTATGGCAATCATAGAATTATCGCCCTTGAACCTGCAAATTTGAACCAAGTAGGTATTTAGTTATTTATCCATTCGCCCACGTCATAACAGAATCTGACACAAGATCGAGTTTGGTGTGGAGTTTCGAGAGTCGTCTAAAAATTGCTCAAGTCCCCTCGGCACTTTCCCCGAAATAGTTTGTTTGCATATCTATAAATCATTCGGATTTCAATATACATTAAGTCAAGTCAAATACTTATCTAAATATAATTGTTATGAAATAAGTTAATGAAAGAGTTCACCAAACTGCATCTTCCTTGAAAAATGTATGGAACTCTCTTGGAGACTAACCTGTTCTAAAATTTGCCTTCAATAGAAAACATTTTGAGGTATTTAACCAGGGATTCATCATCCTAGAACAATCCCAAAGAACAACTAAATCATCCTGAAAATTTTTAAAATTTTCTGAAAATTAAAATGTTTTAGATTTATCATTTATAGTTGTTAACAGTATAATAAAAGCACCATTAAAATGTTTATGAAATACATTAAAAAAGCTAAAATATAAAAGTTTTAAAAATTAATAAATATGAAAAAAAAATAGTTAAATATTTTATTTACTGTCATTTTCATAAAACTCTTGTCTTTTAAACATGTTGGTTAAATCACTCAGAATAATTTTACATGGAAATGTTCTTATTAATTAATTTTAATGCTCAGGGTAACATTTATTATGTTTAATTTAAGAATTGTGCTCTATACATTAATTTTCTATGTAAAGAATGGTAGTTCATTTTTTTCTTGTACAATTACATTACAAATAGTTTACTTTGTGATTTAAAACAGGTTTATAGCTGAAAAGGCTTTCACTAAATTATAATTACATTTTAGAAAATGATTAAATACATTATGGTATATGAAGCTAATTATCTAAATAAAACTTATAAATACAGTAGCGACTGTTTCATTTTATATATATATATATATATATATATATATATATATATATATATATATATAGTGTGTGTAAATATATGTAAAGAAGAGTAGTGCATTTCAACTATTTGAAAAAAGATTTAAAATTTTTCTTCATCAAGAAAATTTCATTTGCAATTACTTTCCTTGAGTCATGACTAAATTTTCCATGTTTGTTTAACATTTTTAAAATTCTCTCTTGTACTTTCAATTTAGTTTATGATAAACAGAAACCATAATGTATAAATGTTGTCTTTTAATAGTTCACATAAATTTTTAGCCAAAAATTAACAAAAAATATCTAATTTTCTTGATTTATTTAGTAAAGCAAAATTAGTTTTTACAATCAGATCCTAATGTTGTTGATGATTAGAAAAAAATAATACAAATATCTAAATTTATTAGACTTTTATTTAAGTATCATTCATTAGTTTACAAAGAAATACTTAAGTTTTTTTTTTTTTTTTTTTTTTTTTTTCGTGTGAACATGTATGCACTCTTATTTAATAAAAACCCACCACTATTGGTGAGAAGTACAATTTTTTTAAAGAAGTTGGTTAGAAGTTTATATATATATCTTAATATATTTTTAATCATTTCACTCCAATCAACCAAACAATAAAGCAACTAAGACACAAGGAGTTTTCGACAGAGTATGAAAAAAAAAACTATTAAGGAGATAGAACAATAAATGAACATGAATAATGAAGACAGAAGATAACAATTGACATTGAAGATCAAAATTCTGGGAAGCAAGAAGCCAGAAGAGTTTCACAAGCAAAAAGTATAATAGAAGAAACTGTTAACATAGAACTTATGGTTACATCTTGCCATTTTAACCATAAAATGACAAGACCTTGCCACCAAGATGGTACTAGGCTTAAATTCATAAAGCCTAGGTATCATCAGAACAATTACCATGTAAATATTTATAGAAAAGGCAGAGGAAAGCAACTTTATAGTGGTGGGAATTTGTCTGAAGCTGAGATGATAGTCAGGGTAGTGGAATTTGAATTAACAATTTTGTATCATCCTAGCATTGTTTGAGAAAAAAACTCTGACCAATCATGCAAAACTAATGTTTTATTATCCCTTATCAATGTTAATTCCAAAGATGGATTTAATTTTTATGCTGTTAGTGTTTTGGGGAAAGTATTTGGCTGTAAAATGTTTTGAAAAATTGACTTTAATTATTTTTTTTATTTTTTTTTTTTACACTGCTTAAAATATATTGATTTTTGGCATTTACAAATTTTATTAGTATGCAAATGAACTAATTACAGTGCATGTGGGAGGTTCAAAGAACAAAAGACTTTGTGAGAACACAATAAGCCTGTTTATACTCTAATTTCTAATTCAACCAGCAACTTATATATCTGATAGACTGTAATATCTTATCTGTTAGGAATGATTTTGTATATGCATAATTTAGAATCAAGACAAGTGTTTTTTTTTTTTGTTTTTTTTTGTATTTTTTTTCTTTTTCTATTTTTAAATCTTTTTTTTTTTCCTTTTAACCTTACAGAATTGACATGTAAAGGATTTCCAGGTCCAGGAAAAGAAGAACACTTGGTTGCTATGAATCCATTGAGTGAACTGTTAAACATCAAGACAGACTATACAGATAAAATGTTTGAGAAATTTAAGTCCCAACACAACAAGAAATATGAATCAGATAAAGAACATGCAAAACGTAAAGACATCTTCCAGCAGAATCTCCGGTAAGTTCTGTGAAATTATTTAAGACAAGAATCCAGAAATTATTTTTTTAAATCATTTAGATTTTTGGGAGATAATAATCATTTACTGATACAGATCCTACTAATTAATCCATAGCTGGGGAGAGAAGAGATGAATTCATACCTTTCCCAAGGTTATTTGCATGTATGTGAATATAATGAACCCAACTACTCTTCAATTTGCAATTCCAAGCCATTATTTGTTACACCACTTGCACATCCAAACTTTACAGCACTTAGTATTCCCAAGCAGACATGCATCTAGGTACTGACCAGGTTTGACATTGCTTAACTTCAGTGATTGTAGGAGAATTGCTGTTTCAATGTGATATGTCCATAAGCCTTGTTATCATTGTAGAAGGCGGGGTCCTCTCTTGTTGAAAATATCAGTGTAAAAACAATAGGAGTAGATAGTTTTGCCTATTGTCCAGTTCACACTCTTTCTGGTGTTTTGAATTGGAGTAGAAGTTTATCCCTTGTTTCCTGATTGGTACTGGGTTTCCATTTCCTTTGAAAGTCTATTTCAACTCTATACATCTAATGTCTCTGACAGCACTCTGAAATTTTATTCACTAATTATTTTTTTTTTCTTTCCCCAATAGGAGTAGATAGGTTTGCCTATTATCTGGTTCACAGTCAGTTTGAACAGGAATATAAGTTTATCCCTTGTTTCCTTTTTAGGATTGTGTTTCCAGTTCCTTCTAAAATCTACTTCCACACTATGCTTTTAGCATCTCCCACTGAACTCTGAAATGTTACTCACTAATTAAATCTTAACCTCCTCAAGTCTAGAATTAGCCATTATCTTTCCTGCATAGCTCCAAGAACTGCACTTCTTGTCCTTTCTTATGCTAATACAACACTACACAGCAGTCCTCTACTTTGAGTGGCTCTTGTGCCTTTTATTGGATGAACATTAGTAAAAAAAATTAAAAAAAGGATCAATCCCTGACTTTTTACAGAGATATCAGAACTTAGTTGTTTTTTTACAAATGTCAAGATTGAAACTGTTTACATCATTGATATCTATGTACGAAAAGAGATTTATTTTAAACTGCGGCTTGCTCAGGAGTTTGAGAATCCCTAAATTTTTGCATATCCTCAGCATTGGAAGCTCTCCTGGCTGCTGTTTGATCTGGGTTTTCATTTGCATGGGACTTTCTTTTTCTTGGTGCAGACTTGGCTCTTTTGATTGCAATCTGGTCCAACCTTTTTGTGAGGCCTACTGCGCTGTATGTGATAGGCAACAATAAACTACAAGAGAACTCAAAACTGATCGCTGCATTTAAGTATTGAATTAATATTTAAGCATACTGTTTGAATGATCAATGATAATTATTCTGGCACCACCCTAATTTAAAGACAGTTTGATGTATGTAGGTCCTTACTTTTGTACAAACAATTATTTTTATTACATGGGTGACTTTTGCTGGATTTCGCAATTAATTTCAGTTATTCCCAAATTTATATCCAAGTTACAAAAATTATCATGCAAAAAAATTTGTAGTGAAAATCACATAAAAAAAAATTGCCAATAACAATTGCAGTAATAAAAACTTGAGAATCCAAAATTTCTGTAACATTAGCTATGGGAAGTTAGAGAATGAATGTTGGTACCATTGCTGAAGGCCTGCATGATATTTTTCCTCTCACCATTGCATAGTTGGAAAGACAGTGAAGGTGACACAAAACAACTATAACCTGTTCTCTTTCTAGCTGAAAAACTTAAAGGGTTTTCAGTGATTCTTACAAGTGTTTTCAATTTGGCAAAATGCCTTATGTGAAAACCTGGAAAAAAGAAACTCAATTAACTTATTTTTTTTTTTTTATGCTGTAACACGATTTGGACAATTTTTCTGTTGTGTGTGTATGTATGTATGTATGTATGTATGTATGTATATATATATATAAAACAGACTCTGGGGTCTGATCATGGATGTGATAAGGTAATTTGATTTATGCCCAGCACTTATCCTCAGAGATCCCAATGCGTTTTTAACTTTTTTTTTTTTTTTTTTTTTTTCATTCTAACCTGAAGGAGCCGGGGTGGGTGGGGGAAGCAGAGGCTCCTGGTGAATTGTGTTGTTTATGGCTTTCCCATTTTGTCTCATTATTTTCACAATACCAGAATAGGTAAAAACATAATGTTAAGTACTGAATTTTTCCAATTTTGAACTTAATATTTATTTGAGCAGGTTTGATAGCTTGTCAATTGAAAATTAGAAAGAAAGTGATTATTAGTGGTAGAATGAAGTTGGCAGAATTGGGCTATTATGTTTAATTACATTTAGTATGGATTCGTGTATAGGGGTGGTAGCACCTGTTAAGCTCCCAGCTATGAGCGATTAGTTAACCCCCAAACGGGTCAAAACCCTCTGAAAGTATAAAAATACATTTTTGTAGTAAAAATTCCAGTGATATATTTGACTCTTGACAAAAACCCTCTTTACAAAAATATGTCAATGAAACTTGATCTACAAATCTATTTTTTTTACAAAGAATACATATTCTATTCATATGAACCTATCCTAAAATCTTGTCAGCATTAAATAACCCATTGATGTTGATATACTGTAAAACAAAATAAACCAAACCAGTCTTGTATATAATAATTTTTGTTTTCAAAATGTTGGATAAGGATGAATGTGATATTTGATGACTACAGCTGTTCTATAGGTCATAGAAGTACATATTTGTTTATATATAATATATATATATATATATATATATATATATATATATATATATATATGTATTTGTGTATTTTTGTCTTGTGCAGTTTCATCAACTCCAAAAATCGTGCTGGCCTCACCTATACTCTGAAAGTTAATCATCTGGCTGACCTTACAGATGTTGAATTGAAAGTTCTCCGTGGTCGACGTCACAGTGGTGTTCAAAATGATGGCCTTCCTTTCAACTTAACAGCTGAACCTGGTTCCATTCCAAGTTCCAAAGATTGGAGAATTGACGGTTAGTTTCTTTCCAAGGTTTAAAATTGTTTTTTTGTTTTGTTTTAATACTAACGTAATCAGTTAATAATAGCTGATGCTATTGTAAAATCAATCCACATTTGCTTTTTAACAATTATGTCTGTTTACTTAATATGTTGATGAGTCAAAAAGTAATGCAATTTTTTTTTTTTTTTTTTTTTTATATAATAAAACAAATTATTGTAGAAAAAATGGATATGCGTTGTCGTGTAATGGTTAACAGCTCGATATTAGAAATTGGAGAGCTGAGTTTGAATTTCATTTGGGTTCATTAGTCACTTATGTGCAGATAACCTCAGGGAAGGTATGAATTTATCTCTTCTCCCCTTAGCTATCAGTTGAATAGCAGAATAGACTGGGTCCTCTAGCCTTGGATTACAACCAGTCTACCACAGAAAGAAATGGCAACCTACTGCAGGAAAATCTTTTGCCAATTCAGTTATGAATTGAAAGAGACATGATTGCTCAAGTATCTATGACATATGGCACTTAACTGACTGACTGATATAAGAAATAAAGAACACAAATATATTGTCCATTAAGCTATAGCTATACATCACAGGTTCACATCCTTACTTCTCAAGATAGTCAACACTTCCTCCAATGGCAGTTTTCCACCTATGGATGAGGGCATGTATCCCAGTTTTGTAAAACTCAGCCTTGTTGCAGATTTAGCCAATTCCTTACAGCAGTTTTCACTTCTTCATCACCACCATAACATCATCTCCACACAGCTTTATCTTTGTATACATTTTTGTAGTCTTTTGTGAATGTTTACTGGAGTTTCTCTTTTGCCAACAAAATTTGATTACTGCTCTTTGCTTCTGACGAACTTCCAACAGCCATTTTCATGTCAGCTCATTTATTCATATATCTACAAAAAACAAAATTAGATAATTTATGATGAAGAGTGTACATGCATTTACATCTGTACCAAATTTTGAATATTACGTTGAGAAATGTGCCTCTTATAACAAAGATTATATTACTTTTTGACTTGCCCTTATATTTTCTTTATGTAACACATTCAAACAGGCAAAAGAAATATCCATGACAATAAATTAAAAAAAAATGTTAACCATCCATATTAAACAGTATTTTCATTTTGAAGAAATATGTGAAAACATAAAATAAGTCATTTACTTACAGCATTTTGGTTTATAGTATTCAATTTACTGAATTATTTAGAAATGTCAAGTTTAAAAATGAGGTAATGTCACTTACATTTTTTATTTAAAAAAAAAATTCCTCCCAAGCATGACAACAAAGCCACTAAGATGCAGGGAGTTACTGAGTGTGAAAGAATATAGGAAAAAGAAAACATTATTAAGGAGCAAGAACAAGAAAAGAACAGAAATTTAGAAGATAGAAGATAATGATTAACATTGCATTTAAATTTTTGAAGATGAAAATTGACTGGAAAGGAAGAAGTTTTACAAACAAGAAATGCAAGAAGAGAAACTGTTAGCATAAAACTTGGGGTTGCATCTAGCTATTTTAACTGTAAAATGATGAGACCTTGCTGTCAATCTAGTACTGCAGTTTAATCCATAAAGTCTAGGTACCATAGAGGAAAGTTCACTGGAACAATTACCACAAAAGTATTTACAGAAAAGACACAGGTAAGCTACATTACAGCAATAGGAAAAGTGACTGAAGACTAGATGCTAAGTTAAGACCAATGGTTATTTTCTAAGCATAGCTTAGATGTGGCACAAGGCCGAAAGTATGGACTATGTAGTTAGGATTGAACTCACTTTTCAGTTGTGACTGATCTAGCAAGACAAGTGTGCTAACCATTACTCCATTCTGAGGTGCTGAAAGTTAGGACCAATGACATTGTAAAATTCTTCTTTGGATTTTACCAAGGATCTCTAAATATATAGCAGGAGCACCAGACCATATAGGACAACAATATTTGAAGCATGAATGAATGATAGACTTGTCTGAATATTTTTTTTTAATTTTTTAACCCTATTTATTTTATTTTACTTTTTTTTTTTTTTTTTTTTTTTTTTAATGGTTTGTAAATTTTTTAAAAAAACTTTTTATGGGATTTTTTCAGAAGCACATGTACAGACATTTGAAATTAATAATTATTTATCTTTAATGAAGAATAAATGGATGCATACTTTTATTCATTTATATAAATTTTGTTCTTCAATTACAAAAATATATAGCTGTCCTTTATTTTTTTTAAAAAAATCTTTGTTCCACCATCCACACAACAGCCTGTTTTTGTCCACAAAAGAAATGTTATTTTATTTTCAAATGTGTTGTGGTCTAAGGAATGTCTAAAACATGCTAATCTATAAAAATTATTCCTCCCCGTGAAATTTTTTTTCCTATTTATGAGTTGACCACTCTACTTAAATAGTGCAGAAAAAATATCCCTATTTTTAATAATTTTTTTTTTTTTTTTTTTATAGGTGCTGTTACCCCTGTTAAGGACCAGGCTGTCTGTGGATCTTGCTGGAGCTTTGGAACAACTGGTACCATTGAAGGTGCTTTTTTCCTCAAGGTATGAAGTCTTTTAATCTCTTTATAAATAAGTCTGCAAGAATCTCTGTGATTGATTAACTGGATGGCAGCATCAGTTTCAAATTAACCATTTCATCATTTAGTGCTCATTTCTACAGAAAGACATATTCATTATGCAAAAAATAGATTTCTTAAAGAGAAAGAAAACTTAAACTTAAACTTAAACCCTGCAAATGAGTGAGCTAAAAAAAAAATCAAAAGATTATATATATATATATATATATATATATATATATATATATATATATATATATATATATATATAATATGGATTAAGTTCAACAATTATTTGATATATTTTCTGCTTATGTCATTTTTAATAGATGCAATTTAAGTATATGATCTGTTTTTAAATAAGCAGTATTAATTACATTCACTGACCTGAACATTCAAGAAATTTTGTAGAAAATATGTGCTTCTTTGACAAGAATCAAACCTGTAGTTCCAATTAGAACCATCATTTGATCTGATGTGCTCTTAACGATTCAGCCACAAAGAAGCATCTGGTTAGCAAAGTCGAATCGAATTACTGTTTATAAACAACAAATCTTCAATATTTTATTGTATTTTAGGTGCTTTGGCTTTATAGTCTAAGACACTTGTTGAGGAGATGTTAGAAAATTATCAATAAATTTTAGCTTAGAATATTTTCTTAAATAAAAACAAAAATGTTATCTTTATGTATATTAAAAAGCTTTTTTAAAAAAAGTTAAAATAGTGCACTCAAATATTTAAAAAAGATAAATATACAAACAAACATATATATATATATATATATATATATATATATATATATATATATATATATATAATAAAATAAACTACCCTGAAAAGGAAGGGATGATCTCAGATATGCAATAAATGCATATATTTTATTTATTTGTATGTTTATTGGAAAACAATCAGACTTTTGAAATTATATTTTTCTTTGTTTTTCTTCAGACCAAGCATCTTGTTAGATTGTCTCAACAAGAATTGGTTGACTGTTCTTGGGGAGAAGGTAACAATGGCTGTGATGGTGGTGAAGATTTCCGTGCCTACAATTGGATTATGAGCAATGGAGGGCTGACCTCTGAGGACAACTATGGACAATACTTAGCTATTGTAAGTGTCTTTCTACCACACTTTAGTATGGATGTATTTCTCTTGACTTGGTCATGTGTTTTACATCACTTCAGTGACTTTTGTATTTGGAACTAGAAGAATATAACTTCATATACAAAAATCTTTAGCAGAGAGCTCTCAGTAATACTTGTTAACACATATTAGAAAATTGGACATTGCAAGCTAGAGGCATTTCTAAATCTTGAAAACCGGCTTGCAAAGGTTTTTCAGTTTTTGTTCATATATTTATTCTGTCAAAAATTTTGGAACATAAGAGTTTTTCAAAAAATCATTGCCAAAATATTTTATACTTTTCTCAGCATGTTGTATCAAGGTGCCCATATAAATATATCTAAATTAGCAATAAAATTTTTAAATAAGGCAATAAATCAGCTTGAACTATCTGAAAATGTCACATTTGTTGGGTTTTGATACCTCAATCTCCTAAATTTGGAGAAGTTTTTTTTTTTTTTTTTTTTTTTTTAAATGATTAAAAATTTCATTACCCACAAAACAACATTTTTGAAGTTTAATGGAAAAAATCTCTGAGGCAGAACATGCTATGCTTTTGTGTTTTGGGTAGACCATAAATTTTGGTTATTAAGACAAAACATGGTCAAAATTAATCAAATACCTCCCAACCCTAATGCCTAGACTTTATTGTCTACCTAAAATGCACAGAGCAGGAATTTTATCTGGAATTGGTAATGTCATAGCAAAACCATAACACCTCTTCTTAGTACAATTATCAGGTTATCCCATAAGTTCTGTCCAAATTTTGAATAAAGAAAACAAGTGACCAAATGTTACATTTAATTACAGATTCAATCAACAATGTATTTTCCCTGATTATCTATGACTTCCTTCCATCTATTAACAAGCTTAATAATTCCATTACTGTAAAATTCTTTTGTCTTTGATTCAAAGAACTCACAAATGTCAGTTTTAACCTCTTCCTGTGTTACAAAGCTATTTCTTCCAAATTCTTACAAATGGTATTCTGAAGGAGCAAGATCGGGAGGATGAGGAATTTTCTCCCAACCAAGTTCTTCGATCTTTTGTGACCTGATTCTTGCTGTGTGGGGTCGCGCATTGTTCTGATGAAACATCACCCCTTTTTGATTCACTACAGCAGGTCTTTATTTCCTCAAAGCTTGGTTCAAACGCTCTAATTGCTGACAGTATATTTGAGCATTAATTGTTGCATTGGGTGGTAAGGATTCAAAGTGGATTATTCCTTGGCGATCCTACCAGATTGAAAGAAGAACCTTCTTGGCTGTGGCTGGGGTCCTTCCCCTTTACCAAGCCACTGTCTACAACACTTAACATTTCGATAAAAGATCCATTTTTCATCACTAGTCACAAGTCTATCCAAAAAAAGTGAAACAAGTTGGCAAGAATGGAGAGAAGAGCAGATGTCAACTCAGGATTTGAGGTTATTTTCAGACAATTCATGAGGCACCCATTTTCCAAGTTTAGGAACTTTTCCAAGTTGTTGAAGATGATGATGAACAGTTGTATGGTTTGAACTGAGAATCACTGCCAATTCCTCAACTGATAAAGCAGGATTTTCTTCAAGGGCTGCTTCAAGAAGCTTTTCATCAAACTCAACTGGATGTCTGTTTCGATCTTCAAGAGTGAAATCTCCACCTCTGAATTTTGCAAACCATCTTCTGCAAATTCTTTCATTCACACATTCCTCTCTATAAACTGTGTGAATGTTTCTAGCCGCTTCGGCTGCTGAGTTTCCTTTCTTGAACTCATAAAGCATTATGTGCCTCAAATGATTCTTGGGTACTTCCATGTTAGCAGGGTTTTAATCAAACAAAATTTAATTTTATTGTTCTCAGAAATAAAATTTGATCAGTTTAAATGCATCTAAATATAAAAATAATGTTCAGCTCCATTAGACATTATAAAATACTCTTTAAATTTTGTTCATTTTAACAAAAAGTTAAAATTTGGACAGAACTTATGGGATGACCTGATAGCTCTTCACATGTAAATGTTATAGTAAAGCTCTTAATATCTCTTAGAAAAACTGTAGCAAAACATTTGAGAAATCAGATTTAGGAGTAATTAATTTCTAAGTAACTGTACACAAATTAAATTCATTAAATATATTTGGAGTTTTATTTATTTATTTTTTAATTTTTTTTAATTTTCAGATATTTTACATATTTCTTTGCCAAAATCTACAGGGTCTGTAATGTTATTAGTCTTAATCTGGTATCCTGACTTGTCACTTTTCTGCCACCATGATGTGGCTTCCTTCTGTCATTTTTATAAATATATTCATGGCAATTGTTGTTATGAGTTTTCCTCTTTGGTACTTAGACTGCATGATTTTAAGTGTACTACTAGTTTGGCAATTGAATTTCATTGTTTTACTATTGAAATAGCTGAGTGTAGCCATAAGTTCTATTTTGATATTTTCTTTTCTCACCCATGGAACTCTTCTGGTTTTTTAATTCCCTGCCACCTACGATCGTCAAAAATTTAAATGCAATATCAATCGCCATCTTCTGTCTTCCTGTATCCTATTCTTTTATTGTCTGTTCTCCTCACTAACGTCTTTTCATATTTTTAACTTTCAGTAACTCCTTCTGCCTTAGTAGCATTATCGCCTTGCTTGGAGTGGAATGATTAACAAAAACAAACTATTTTTAATATATTTGTTGTAAAAGTATATAGAAATGTGTTACGCCATGATTATGTGTGCTTAATGAGCAAGGGAGACAACTTTCAAATTATTTTCTATTTTTTTTTTTTTTTTTTTTTTTTCTTTCTTTCTTCCCGTATAAAGGTTGAGATTAGCCAAAAAAATGAAGTCGGGTTCGGATTTTTTTAATGCAGTTTATGGAAAACAACTGAAATTTTTAACTCTCATTAGAGTTATATTTTAAGCATATTATGAAGTAAGCTTCAGATAAATTTCCCTGATCCCCACCAAAAAAGAAATGTATTTTGATAAGTAAAATTAAAAAGAAAACCTTTTATTTATATATATATATATATATATATATATATATATATATATATATATCTTTTTTCTTCATAAATTTTTAAAACTTTATTTTACTTGAATATTTTTATAAAAGCTTTTATATACAGGTTGATTGCAAGTAACTCCTTATTTTATGTATGATGGACTGGAGAGTCCATCATACACAAAATAGGGAGTTACTTTTCAGTCACCCTGTTGTCTTATCTAAATGTTTTATGATTATTTTTTTTTTTTTTTTTTTTTTTATATACAAGAGAAGCAAGTTTATTCTTTGATCTTTATTTTAGAATTTGAAATGCTGACATTCTGAAGCCTCGAATATATTTTAACGTTTATCATAAAATAATAAGGCACAAATATGAAATAAATAAAAATGAAATGCGGAACAAAAAAAGCATCAAATAATTTTAATTTGTTTGAATTTCTGTCATAAAACATCATATTATAATTCTGTTTATTTCTTAATTACACTCTGCAAATACCTCTTAAATAATGGATGATACTGTTTTGATTGTGAGGAAAGATGGAAAATTGATATCAGAGATGTTTAGTTTTGGTAAGAAAAGATAAAAGATAGAGGAAATGATAATGCTCTCATGTGTTTAACATCTTCAGTGAAATGAAAAACGTTAATTTTTACCCTCTTACTTCTTTAAATGACCTGTATTCATACTTATTGTTATTACAATATTTTCTTAAAGTTGTTAACCTGTTCAAATATTTAATGATGCAATAGAAGACATTTCCATGAGCATTTTATTGTTGTGAATCTCCCAAGTAGCTTATTCAATCATTAACTTAAGAATTATGATTAATCAAAAAATTCAAATGGGAAAACGTGAATTTTTTCGCAGGTATTTTTAGTAGATTTTAATGTCTTAATGTTATTTAAAAATATTTTAATCCATGGATCATCTTTTCCAGTTGTGGACCAAATTCATGTTCATCAGAAAATTAAAATAGGAAAACCATGAAATTTTCATGGGTGCTACTAATTTTTAATTTTTGATCTGTTATTGTTTAAATCCTAGCACTAAGCAGTATAGGGTCAGAAACAAATAAGCCTCCAATGAGATTTGAACTCTCCTTCTCTATCTTTGGTAACTTATCTGAGATGGATGACATCTTAGTGATTTAGTCATGGAGATACATCAGCAGGTGAAATTCTAATTGGTCATATTGTTACTTTTATGTGATCTATACTTTTTTAAGTCACAGGATGTAAAACAACCAGATTAAAAAAAAAATTGGATGGAAAGAAAAAATGAATAATAAAAAATATCAAAGTTCAACAAAAAAAATTCTGCCTGAATTTGTGGTATATGAAGTTATCGTTATATACATTATTTACATTTGGCCTAATATCCTCCTGTTTATTGTTATTATCACAATGTTCCAGCCATTGTATCCCATAGATTTCTTTGAGTATCTAGTCAGCAGAATGAGAACAATCTACCCTTGTAGATTTGATAAAGGATTCAGTTTAGAATTACCCAAATGGTTACCCAGATCGACGGACATCTAAAAAAAATACTGGAGAGTACAATGTCCAAAATTTTGGGATAGTAACAACAAAGATGAGGATAATAGTTTAACAAAAATGTTTTGAATCAAGGTTTTATTAAATTTCACTATTTCTCTTTTAATGTTTTTTTTTTTCTTTTAATCTATTATGCTGAAGAATATTTCTTTGAAATATACAATTTTCATCATTCCCTTTTACCATATTTGCCTTTGCATAATATGCACAGTCACACAAGAACCCCTCATCCCCATTTTACAAGGATATTTTGTGGAAAAGTTTCTTTTTGGCATGTTACATCATATATTTATTGAAAAATATATATTAAAATTATATTTATTATATTTAAATACATTTTAAAGTGGTTTTGTAGGGGAAATATATGATTTTGGCGGTGGGGGTGTATGCAAATACAATATTGTAACAGTCTACTGAAATTAAGTATGGAATCCTATATAGTAACTTTAACAGTCAAAGGAAACTAAATTAAATTTGCCAAAGCAGAAAAGAAATACTAACACATTTGTATCAATGAAGTCTGGTACATATGAACAAAGCAAACTGATATAAAGCAATCATTTACTGTACTTTACATATAGTAAATATGAATGAATTCTTCTAGATAATTACAGTCTGGGTAGACAAAGCAAAATATTTCACTAAAATTAACAATAGTATACAACAAGCAACAGGGGAAGAAACTGAATGCATTCAAACAGAAACTGGTATTTCAGCAAACAGTACAGACTGTAATACATATTTTTTTTTATTAGTAACATAATTTACTGTAATAATTTGTTTTGTTTTCAATATTTTATTACTAGTAACAATTTTTATACCTCCTGGACTTTGGCTCATCCAATGCCCTAGCTTACCAGTACAGCACTTGGTCATCTCCCATTTATAATATGGCTGGGAAGTATTTTGGTACATTTAAAAGTAATAAAAAAAATGAGTTTTATGCAAAGGCAAATACAATAATTTCTGTTTTCTTCACAAATGCTTTCTAAGTTTTCATACTTTTTATCTAATAATTGGAATCCCGTTGTTATAGAGGTTAAATATTAGACCAAATTCTTAAATTCTTTCTTTTTTTTCTCCAATTAGGATGGTAAATGCAAGTCCCGAACTGTGGACCCTGTTGTCAAATTGAAGGGTTATGTCAATGTCACCTCTGGAAGTGAAGATGCTCTGAAAATTGCCATTATTAAAGCAGGACCCATTTCAGTGGCTATTGATGCTTCACACAAATCGCTCTCTTTCTATGCAAATGGTGTCTACTATGAACCAAAATGCAGTAAGTAAATTGTTTATTTTGCTTATATATATATATATATATATATATATATATATATATATATATCTATATATATACACACACACACTGAAAATGTGGCAAATTTAGACCTTTGTATCTGCAAAAAAAAAAAATGGAGTGTCAAAAGGACGGTTTTTTCATTGACACTGGTATTATTTTAACTACCTTCACTCTTCAGAAATGTTCATTCTTTTAAAAAGTGATTATTAGAATTGTAGTAAAGCCTAAATATGTGGAAGTGAATTTATACATTTTCTTTGTTCTAGAGTATTGACCACAAAAATAATAAAAACTATTATATTATTGGAATGATTGGCAAAACATTGGCTAATTGCCAATTGATTCAGACTTTATAAAATGGTAAATAATGATTTCCTTATAGTTGGTTCACATATTTCAATAATTTAGTAAATGTTTATAAATTTATGAGTAAATAATTTTTATTTATTCTTTTATAAATTGCTAAAAGATAAATATTGCATTTCATTAGTTCTAATTGCATTAATTTTTAGAATATTGTAAATATAAAATTATTTTTGTAAATAAATAATCTAATAAATAGCAATTAATAATTTTGTAATTTCTCAAGAACAAAAAAAATGTGTAAGTTCATTTTCATCATGTTTAGGTTTTATTACAATTGCAATCATCACTTTTTAAAACAAACATTGCTGAGGATGGAAGGTAGTTAAAATAATAATAGTGTCAGTGGAAAAACTGCCTTTTTGATACCCCTCACCCCTTTTTTTCTTTTTTGGGCATGATGGTCCATGTTTGCAGAAAATATTCTCCAGGTTTTTATGATTTGCTATTTCTGCAGATAGGAAATGCAACAATAAATAATGTAAGGATGATGGTAACATTAGCTGTTTCCTTGTAAGGAAACATTTGGCACTTGTTGATTACAGAGTTAGCCTTACTGTCTGTTGGAATTTATAATCTTTTTCTTAAAATAGTTTTTTCAGAAAATTAGACTTTTCAAGTCCCCTAACTGTTATCCCTTTTTCTAGTATTGATGGGCGTTTCCTTCCTAATCTTCCAATTTTAGTAGTGTGGAAAGTTAACATTTTGATTTTATCATTATTTTCTCATCTTGTTACATGTGCTATCTGTTTTTGTTGTTGCTGCTGTTGGAAGTGTTCAAGTAATATGGTTTTGATTATTTGGTATAGTTCTTTATTTGTGATTCTTTAGCCCTGATCTATATCATCTAATATATTTAAGGCCATCTTTAATCACTGATCTAGGAAAATGGTTGTATATATACTACTGATCAAAAGTTTGGGACCACCATGAATTGTTCTTCGAAGTTCATAAAAAAAAAGGCTAATTTTGCATATTAGGATAAATAAATTCACCTATTGTGTATACAGATGCGATGAATAAATTGTCGTCTAAATTATGCAAAAATGAAAATAACACTGGCCTCTCATTGGAACAGATATCTTTACCAAATTTATACAAAAATATCTTAAAATACTGAAGAGTAAATTTATTCAATAAAATCACCATTCACTTCAACAACAGCCTCCAGATGACTTTGAAATCTTTTGCAACTCTTCTGGATAGTCTCCTTGTTTAAGTTGGTGAATGCTGCCATAATCATTGTCTTCAGTTCATCTTTGGTATTACAAGGAGTTTTGTTAATCTCTCTCTCTCTCTCTCTTTCAACTGTGCCCAACATATAATAATTAAGGGGTTGTAGTCTGGGTAGTTAGGTAGCCAGATGTAAGGGGTGATGTAGTTGCAGAAATTGTCTGACAGCTATGACTGGGTTCTCCTGCTTGTGTGGCATGGTGAAGAGTCCTGTTTACAGACATAGTGTTATCCAGCAGCCACCCTCTTGACCCAGGGCAGCACTACCTCCTCAAGGCACTTGACGTAGGACTCCATGTTGAGTCTGAGGCCCTGTGGGAAGATGAATGGAAGCATAACGTTGTCATAACTAGTGAACACTCCAAACACCATGCTGTTGACCATCCAACTCTTTCCAAATCCTCTGCACTGTCTTCAGATTGACACCCAAAGACTCTGAAATGTTTGTATTGAAACTTCTGGTGTGAATGCCAAGGAGTACAGCATGTTGTTTCCAAATTTCTGGCGGAGTGAATTGTGTCATGGTGCTCTTTTTCTCCCAGACGGTGCCCAACTGACCCTACTATACTGTGCAGTTGACAAAAACAAAAACAAACAATGGCATGTGCAAAATTAAAAATATAAAATAGTAATGATTTACCCATTGCATCCTCTATATGCAAACCCTTACATAAAATTCAAACAAATTTTTCTACAAGCATTATAAATTTATTTGCATAAGCTTTAGAAATTTTCTTACAACCTGATACCTTTTCTGAACTGTAGAGCAGAAATTTACAAATATTTCAACTCCACTGCTTGGCAGAGGTTCAATTCCATCTAGATTATCATGTGATTGAATTAATTTTCAAAAACTGTTGAAATGCCAAGAACTAAACAGATTAGTATTGAAAAAAGAACCCAATTGGAAATCTCTTCTATATAAGGGTATTCCGAATGTCAGATTGCTAGATATAAAAAAATGGGGTGCATTATTGCCTGCAATGACATGTAAAAACTGGTGTAAACGTTGACAGAAAAAGATCCTTTTGATTTCAGCTATTGCATAATTGCATGCAAACATTGAAAAGATAAATTTATTTCTTTTAAAGACATGAAACTGGATTCATTTTTTAAGTTTAGAGGAGAAAACAATCAATGTTGTCCTAAACTTTTGGTCAGTACTGTGGATGATAGTTTAGACATTTCTGAAAGAGTTGGACGTTGTCCATGACATCCATATGCAGGTCAAGAATCTGACCAATATATTTAAGAAATAGAATCTATGTCTATTATTTATTCTTGTTCTTTACGACTTCTAGTCAATATTACTGAACAAGCATTTCCCTTCTAGTTAAAAAAAAATCTTTCTCTTAAGATAGTTTTTCATAAAATTAGACTTCTCATGTCCAATATCATCACACATAATATGATTGATGAGAGTTTCCTTTCAAACATGTTAAGGTAATGTGTCAGTTATATCATTATTTTCCTTTCTAATTACATATGCTACCTATTTTAGTTGTTGGAACTCCTCTCAAGTTATGTAGTTTGTTATTTAGTGTAACTCTGTGTGGCTGGCTGGGATGAGACTTTGTGTTTTCAGTAATGAGATCACTTAAAAAATCAGATAAATGACATTAATGTCATTAGGTCACCTACTTAATTTAAGTAGAGTTGAGTATATAATATTGTTGTCCATTTTAATTTACATGTATGCAGATGGTATGAGGATCAGCTGTTCCATTGTTTAGGTAGTGTGACCACAGATATAGGATAGAAAACATATGAGAAGGAGGTGGTGTTCTTTGTCTGCACAGAAAGTGTTATCAGGCTGGTACAAAGTGTCTACCAGTTGCCACAGTGAGCCACAATGTTATATACACAGGAACTGCTGTTAAATAAAAATAGATTCTCACCACAAACACTGGCTGTTGTTATCTTTAGCATGTCCAATTGAATCTTTCCCTGATTTCATCCCCTTGTGAGCATATCTTGGCCTTGCCAACTTTGGGCAACACTGTAAAGTCATCTTAAAAAACCCCCACTGAAACGCAATGTGGGGTTGATTGCTTGTTTAGCGAATCTGTAAGTTTGGACAAGCAAACGTAGCATTCTTACTTCAAGACAAGACAGATTGAGTCATATGAAACTGCAAACTGGACTATTGGCTAGGAAAGAAATCCCAGCATGCTTTTTGCTTTTTCCTATAAAAGGGGAAGGGCAAGAGTTTGGCAGTCAAAATGTAAATGGTCATGGCCCTCCACAACTCCCTGTTGCTCTAAGTAACTTTTAACTCTTCATCACCCCCTCCTTTGCCCTTGTTCTGTCGTCCATTCACGCAGACTTGTTACGTCAGTTACTCACTGTTTTCCTTTGTTTCTTTTGCCGTCAGTATATCTTGTGAGTGTTAAATTCTCCAAGCCCTCTTTTTTCCTTATGTGTCTCAGAAATTTCAACTGTTTATGACTGTAAGTCTGTTTCCTTGTTCCTATTTTCTTTAGTAAATTCTCATTACTCACATGTTCAGCTGATGGTATTCTCAGCATTCGTTAGTAGAACCACATCTCTCTGTCATTTCAAGCCACTCCTTCATCTGTGAGGAGATTGTTCACCATTTACAGCCATGTAGATTGGCTATTTCATATCAAATCAGCACTCTTTCCTTTGCTTTTAACATAATTTTTGGATCTCATATAATTTGCATATTATCTGGAAAGCCTCTTCCATTATTCCAATGTACTTTTGGATTTCTGTGTCCTGTACTTACTGTATTATTTTTAAGGACCTTTGAAAGGAGTGTGATTGAAATAGACATGAGAGGAGAAATTAGGCCATTTCAGATTGTAAAAAGAGTACTGAAGTTTGTAAAAAGAGTACTGGAGATATGAAGACTTATTGTTGCTTGATGCCCAGTGATTTGAGCTAACAATAAAATAGTTATTATAATAAGTCCTACCCATAATCACTAGAACACTGCTATTAGTCACAAAGACAAGTCTTTCTGACTTCTTTTCTATTTTAAAATTAAGTTAACTACATAGCTTTTTATGCTGTATTTTTGCTTAGGTGTATCTTTACAATATTTTCCAGCTGATATGGCACAACATATCCAAATACAGCATTGCATATTATATTCTGAAATCATATTTTGGAAGCTGTATATTGAAGGTGTATGCTCTACTTTGGGTGTTTTGATAAGTTTTGGCATACCCTATTCCCCACAATTTTTATTTTTATTTTTTTTACTGGCTGGTCATTTGATTTTTATGTAATTTTTAAGATTTATTATTTTCTTTTTCTTTTCTTTTTATAGAAAGTGATCCAGATTCCTTGGATCATGCCGTACTTGCTGTTGGTTATGGTGAACTCCATGGAAAACCTTACTGGCTGATCAAAAATTCCTGGTCCACTTATTGGGGTAATGATGGCTATGTATTGATTTCCAGTGAGAACAATCATTGTGGAGTGACCACTTCTCCCACTTATGTCATTATTGAATAAATATCCAAGTTTTATTCACACATTATACCATAAGATTTTTTTTTCTCCATGGTCATCTCAGTGATATGAAAAGAAACAGAGAAAGAGGTGAAAGGATTTTATTTTTTTTTACCTTTTAACTCTGTTTTTCATAAAGCAAAAATTGAAGGGGGCATTGGCTATTCTTATAAGTGAAACAGTTTTTTTTTTTTTTTTTTTTTTTTTTTGGTAAATATATAGAGAATAGTTTTTAATTGAAACAATATAATGATACCATTGTAATAAATGTCCACATAAGCTGTTTATCTTTTTGACAGAAACTTTTCTCCTGATGGGTGGGGTGGAGAATAAGCATTATGTACAGTATTTTTTTAATTAATAAATTGTAAAAATGTTATTCCTTTTATTCTTATTTCTTTTTCCATTTTTAAAATGTTGTATTTTTTTTTCTAAGTATAATTTATGAAGAAGAAAATAGAAAATCAAAATGTTTTAAACAACTTGCTGGATAATTTCTTTGGAAAATCATTAAAATATTTCATAACCTGACAAATTCTCATAATGTAGATGCCTCATTAGTTTGTCTTGTATATGACATTATAAAATGTCATGATCACACTTTCTACTTTTGTTATGTTATTGATAGGAGGATTGAACTGATGTTTTTTGGTTGAATTTAAAAACAATATAAGTTACACAATTTCTGCACATTTTTTTTTTTTTTTTTTAAATCTTATTTTTGGAGATTGTTGATTTAATTAATTTATTTTTTTAAATAAAAATGATTTAACATTAAAAAAAGATAATGAAATGTTTTTGTGCTTAAAATTTTTTAAAGAAAACAAATTAATCTTTTTTTTTTTTTTTTTTTTTTTTTTTCAAATACTGTATAAATTTGAAATGAGAATATTAACCATCTTTATCATGTCTTTGTTTAATTCCTTTTGATAAACATAAATAAAATTAATTTCTTAATTAAGAAATTAATTTTACTTATCTTTTTATGAATTTCGGTGAAGAATATTTAACATGTATCTCCATAGCATCATTTTAAACTGATGCCATGTTTTTCCCCCCACATAGATCTAAACTATAATTGTAAACCTTAATTTTGTAAATTAAAACTTACACTGAAATATGTTGGAAAATTTTCAACTTTTCTTCTGAAAGCAAGAAAATATGAAATTTAATCTAAATAGTTATAATATATGGAAAAAACATGGGGTCAGTTTAAACTGACACCTGGTATGGGGTTTATAGGCATGGATTAAAGAATCTACCAAAATGAATTCCTGTTTAACAAAATACATTGTAATTTGTAAAAATTCAGATATAAATAAAATATCTCTGTAAAAAGACTATGAATAAAGATAAAAGTAAAATTTTCTTTGCCAATGCATTTTGTCCCTTGATTTTGCAACAATTTCAAAATAAAATCCTTACATTAACCTTGATAAATTCCCTTGATATGAAATGCATTGGTAACAAAACATTTTACTTTTGTTTTTATTCATATTATGTTTCATAAGATAATGACCTTAATAAATGTGAATATTGATTGGGGAAACCAATTTTTTCCCCAAGTACATGAATAATATTTGGAATTATGGATATTAATAATTGTTTGCACAAATTTGAAGATTTAAATGTGTTACAACCTAGAAAAAGTTACTAAATGAGGAATCACCAAAACAGAGGTTGGATATGGAATGGTAATCTTTATAATATCAACAAAATATAATACTCACCAGTGGCATGAAGTAGATAAACCACTGTTAGTGGTGGACTAATAAGACAGCATATTACCCCCATTTACAATAGTGTCCAACATATTTATGAGGATTAGGACATATCCATTAGTTCTTATAGGTACGGTATATAACAAAATGTTTTTTTTCATTGTTTTAGCCATTATATTTCCTTTATCATTTTTAAATAATTAGGAGTGATCTTTTTGTTATACACCAAAATATTCAAGAAAGGGCAGTGATGGTGCAAATAATAAAAAGATTGTATAAACTTTTCATCGATTCTGTAAATAAAACATTTAAGAAATTTTCAGGTGTATGTCTTCTTTAAAAAAAAAAAAAAAAAAAAAAGTAAATTACTGGAAATGTTGATTACTCCTGGAGAATACAAGGATTAGATGGCGTACAGTCATCTTTTTTATGGGCCGTGTCCAATCAGGATGTAGGTGATTATAGCTCTCCACAATTTCCTGTCCTTTGTAGCTCTTAATAAATTTTGTGTTTTTTGTTATTTTTCCTAAACCTTGTTTTGCCATCTATTTACTCAAGCTCACTAAATCTGTTATGCAATTTTTTTCCTCTGTCCCTCTTCCATTCAATTTGTCCTTTGAGTATCAGATTTTCCAAGCCATCTTTTCTCATGTGCCCTAGAAATTTCAACTGTCTCTTCCTGATGTTAAGTATAAGTTTCCTTTTCGTTTCTGTTTTCTCAAAAACTTTTATCATTGCTCACATATTTTCTATATAGGACATATCATGTAACAGTTCGGTACTATTTCTTTGTTACTAATGTTGTTTTTCTGTTTCTTAATACTCTGTTTAGCTTTTGGAAGGCATTTTTTGGCTATTGCAGTGTACCATCAGATTTCAGTGGCACACTTTCTGTCCTTTGTTAAAACACAAACCAGGTATTTAAATTTTATGCTGAAACACTGTATGCCATCTTCTCCCTGAAGTTGAGCATCATTGAGGCTGGTTAATGCTCAGATGGGCAACTGCTGGGAAATATCAGGTGCCGTAAGCTATGCAACTGACCTAGCAAGATTGCGATAGATATGATCTATCTACTTATATTAAAGACCTCAATATGTGGAGATGCTTCTAGACTGACAGGTCGTGAGACCTACTGAGAATTGGGTAAGTGAGTAGTGTGTGGATCTAATGTTTATTAGAAAGTGCCAATATTTTTTTTTTTTTTTTTTTTTTTTTTTGGAGAAATGATAATAATGCACTTGAGAAACCTATTTTTCCGAAAAAATCGTTTCAACAGAAAGATTTTATAAAGTTCAACTGAAAAATAGCACTAGCTGCTCCATCAATGAATGTGAAATGTTTCCTTATCAGGAAACAGCTAATGTTACCATTATTGTAATAGCTTAGAAACAGGTATAGATCTATTTGGAAAGGATGTCAGAACAATCCAGAAATTAAAATGGAAACAAACCAACCTACATTGGGGTAGAAAATGAATTCAATATACACACAAAAACAGAAAGGGGCATAAGACATGGATGTGTCTTTTCACCGAATTTATTCAACTTCTACAGTAAACCCGTCCTAAAGAAGCTGGAGACACTACTTTATTATTAGTGGGCACAATCTTAATATAATATACTCAGCTAACACTGTGTTGATGGCAAACACAAAAGGAAAACTACAGGACCTCCAAGATAAGGTAGTAAAGGAAAGTAAGAAAGGACTAACCACCAATTGTAAAAATACAAAATGCATGGTTGATGGCAAGAGGAAAAGCCCTAGATGTGAGCTACAAATTTGAGATGTCCATATCAAACAAGTACAAATGTTTAAATATCTGAGAATTTTGTTGAAGTGTGGATGAAGTTGAATATAACATCAATCAGCTAAGTGAAAAATGATATTTAATTGTATTAGTTATATATACTTACTAGCTTAAAAGGTGCCCTATTGCAGAGAACTCTTGATTAGGCCTTCATCACAATAGGTAGGTAGTAGATGCAATAGGCAACAATAAACTACAGAAGAACTCAAAATTGATCACTGCATTTAAGTATTGCATTAGTATTTAAGTTTACCTTTTAAAAGTTCAACGATAATTTTTCTTCTGCCACTTAAATTTAAAGACAATGTATGTATGTCTATACTTTCCACACATTTATACTTCATTTCATGGATGCCTTTCACTGGATTTCGCAATTAATTTTGATTATTCCCAAATTTATTTCCCAGTATTAAAAATTGTACAAAAAAAAGTTGTCAAAAAAAAAAAAAAATGAAGATGATCAAAAACTTGGGAATCCAAAATTTCAGGATTGTGGGTTCAGATCCAGAGTCTGGAATGTTTTTAATTTGCTCTTGGAGTTGGCCTGATTACAAAATGCTATATGTTTGGTTAGGGTCTCTAGGGTAAAGTGGAAAAAGTGTGGCACACTGACATTCGCATTTATATATATATATATATATATATATATATATATATATATATATACATACACACACACACAGACAGTATTAGTATATAATTGTTGTGGATGCACGGTGGTGTAATGGATAGTGGCTTGGAATGAGAATTCAGTCGAGTTCCTTACATTCACTAGGGAAAGGTATGAATCTATCTTGTCTCCCCACAGCTATTGGTAATTAGCAGTACTGGACCCTATAGCCTTGGCAACCAATCTAGGGGTAGGAAAACTGAATTTGAATCATCCTGGATAGTGTTGAACTCAATCTTGACCAAGACAAACTGCAACATCCACAATATGACATGTTATTTTCTTTGCTTTGTAAGAAGACAGAATTTTATAGTTGTTAGCAAGAGGGACAACCCAAGGTGTGAACTACGAATTAGAGATACCAAAATGAATCAAGCACATAAATTTAAATATACTGGGAAGTGTTTTAACAGAGGATGAAAAAAATGTGATATCCGAACGTGCCTCTTATTAATGAAAGATGCCTCCCCTAAGCTAAGCAAAGTACTAAGAACTGTTATTTAATATCAATCCTCTTATATGATTGAATGTTGAACAATACTGTCACAGATGAAAAGAAAACTGGAAGCAACAGAAATGTGGTTCTACAGAAGGATATTGAGAATTCCACGAACGGAGCGCGTAAACAACGAAGAAATCTTAATGGATTTCTTAATCCATTAAGATTTCTTCGTTGTTTACGCGCTCAGAAAGAGCAGAAATTTCTTGGACAAATGAAGAAGTAAGGCTTGGAAAACATGACACTCACAGGACACTGAAGACAAAAGGAACAGAATGGAGCAGGCCACCTACCTGTCGAGCT